TAGTTCGCTTGCAGCATCCCACTTTAAGTCGTGGCTAGTGCGTTCCCACAGAGCTGTTGATGGTTGTGGACACTCTCATTTCCATCTCATGTTGCCCATGGAGAACAATGGGTTTTCTTCTTTCCAGTGTATACTTGTGGAAAATGCAATACGTTGGGGCTAAAAACACAAAGAAACCCCTGAAGTTTCAGACACTAGGGTGGGCTTGGGCCCCCTTGATCCCCCTCCCCCAGCGTCCATGCCCCTGGCAGACGCTCACAAAAACACTGTGATTAAGACCATTGTGAGATAATGTCTGCGCACCCGACTATGACCAAACCATCAGCAGCACAAGAGTGATTGGGCGGCTGAGGCACCAGACGCTGGATCTTCGGCTCACGACCCGCTCAGCTGCACCGCTCAGCTGCACCGCTTGTGAAGTGTCTCCGATCGCCTCGTAACCGAATCTGCCGCTATAATGCGGACACAACGAAATGAGACTGATGTCCAGCAGTTCGTGGAGAGTTGCGAGTGAAACCCTGGGAGGAACACGGTGTTTAGAGGCTCCAAACTCTGGAAGTTTTGCATATAAACCTTAAGATATAATGCATGAGACAGCCTCAGTGGCTTGGCTAGGTTGATAAAGACCACTGTTAGAGTAGCGCCGATTCCCGGTCAGTGTGGAACAGAAGAAAATCAGTGCTTTGTGATGTTTTTTGGGTCGCTGTGTCTCATTGTTTTAGCAGTACATGAATTTTACACAGTGAAACCTCAGCATAGCCAACTTCAGGTGCTCTGGGGTATTTCTAAAAATATACCAGGGCCTTATACAGACTTTGAAATGCTTGTAGGCCTAACCTCACGATTTTGAGGGACATCTCCCCATGAGTATGGAATACCTGGGTACAGGCAACGTTCCAACAATCCACTCGTGTTGAGTTCTAGGGCCTGTCGACTGCACCTGGTCATGCAGCAACCACTCAGTGGGTTGTGCGGGCGGAAGGTTAACATAAATTCATGCCACTGGAATTCTGGCTCTCGGCAGCTCCCGCGCACACAATTCGTTAGCTGTAATCCTTTGCCCCTTGATCTTGAACCCTAAAATCTTACCCGCTAGGTCGGTCTGCCAATCCCGAGGCGCGTGGATGGTGGGTTGACCGCCGCCCGGTCGGGTGCTGATTGGCCGATATTGAGCAAGGGAAGGAGTACCGGGCATCGAATCCTGAGGGTGGTGCGCTAGTGACGTCAGTCCTTGCCATCCAAGTTGGCCAATCTTGAAAACCGTGCAGCATATTGGAAAAGGCCAGCGGGCAGCTACATGTACGCTGAATTCACGCGCCAACTCTTCAGAGCTGCTAGGGGCGACGTCATGATATACCCCATGTCATGTCATTGGGGCTTTAGGACGCACTGAGCTGCTGGGGCTATATGGCGTCGCATGCCTCTCACCCTGGCAGGCTGGGCGGGCACCGCGGGGAATCGAACCCCGTTCCTCTGGTTTCCCAGACGCGCAGTGGTTATTCGATGATATGCCCCGGCACCTGGTGGCTGCACGATTTGACCTATCGCAGTCATGTGTAAAAGAGACCCTGGAATATCAAAATAATATTTTGACCGGTCCTCACTAGAACAAGAGGCGAGGTATAGTAAGCGCTCCAAGGGACCCGAGGTCACTGGGCATGTGGCACGCTGCCAGAAAACAGGAACTCGCAGCGTGTCCCGGAGTCCGCGACCAGCGGACTAGGCAGAGACGTCATCATGAATGTGCGAATCGAACCCCGCGTCCGAAAAGTGGCGCTCAGGTGCCTGGTAACGTGGTGTACCATGGACGTGTAGGAGTGGCCGCCCCGTTTGGAGTCACATTCATAGGGCGAGAAGTTCCCATGCAGGTTGATGATGTGGCCGCCGCTGGTAAGCAACTCGCGCGGACCACCCGCACACAAGTGATGCTCAGTAGCGATGATGTTGACTGTATTGCACGCATAGAGACATGCCTGAAGAATTTACGTTGTGCTTCTTGTAAGTCCACTGCCCAACGGCCAGTACGTCATCTGACGGGCCCTCACAAGAAATCACACATCACGGACGCGAAACCTCAAAACTGCTAGATGATACCCATGTGCCTGCAACATCCGGTGACAGGAAACATCCCGGTATTATCCCTGGCTTTTACCGCCAGGAGACGTAGTGGAGCTGGTCAAGGAAAGCTGCACGCGAGGGCTGGTGCGCGCATCGGCAATCGTGTTCAGAGTGTGACACGCAAAATCACTCGTAAAAACGACCCGTAGGTTTGCGCTCAAAATACGGCTACGGCGAGTAAAAAAAAAAAACACGATACGGCTCGGGGCGAGTTATTTCCTATCGCGTCGTTGGCAGGGTGCGATGGTAGGCGCTACCCTGTCCATTTGGCTGGAACTGAACGGAAGCCGCGGAACACAAATTGATGGATGTTCGATTTGACGTTTTGAGATTAACTGATGACTCTTCATGCTTCAAACTTGAAGCTTGAAGACACGATACAGTTCCGTCAATTAGGAGATAGCACGACATTTGTTCCCTCAAGGGCCAATGAATTGGTATCCTAAATCAGATTCAGCAAAAAGCGACAAGAGATCGATGAAAAGCCGGACTAAGTTATCACGGGTCACTGGCTTTGGTTGACATTGAGGAGGGCACTGACCTATCGCTTGGTTTGTGTGTTCGCCCTCTGTAGAGTGTCAATCTATGCTGATATCAGCCCTCAAGGTATCACTGACTACCGCAGTAAGACTGTTATTTGGTATATGCAGTGTCATTACATGTTACATCTGATGAGACGAGACCGAGGCCCTCAACGCGGCGGGACCGGATTTTGGACATTGGACCGATAGCCTCTGCCGCCAACACATCGGCTCCGATTGGAGAAGAAACTGCAGTGCGGTCGTCAGCTGGTTAGCACTGGCGTCCACGGTTTAATGCGTTTGAGATGTATTGACCTGTGTGCATGTGTTGCTGTTTATTGAGCGTATAACTTGATTAAAGCATGACGTGTATGATTTTGGGCAGATCTCAAGATGGATACGTCAAGAATGATCGTGAACACATTCAACTTCCATGGTCAGCAGCTTAGCAAGATCATGGAAGACAAGCAAGTCAAACTGCTGGGAAGCATAAACATTCGTGATGTTGACTATCACACGTATCACCAAAGGACTAAAGATCTAAGGTATGATGGGAATAGGGAATGTAAATGCTTCAAAATTTATCATTAAATGTTGTGTAAAAGAAGCATAGTTATGTTCTGCGTTATGTCGCTTATAGGTTATCTGTCTGCTTATAGGCTTGGTGTGGCTCACGCTGGGGCGAACATTTGAAAGCCTGATATGTAGGGCCCACCTCATACTTGCAAATAAATGTATCGAAGACCAAAAAGAAAGTATTGCAAGTACTCATGTAATGCTCCTCAATAGCCTTGACCTTTTCAATCTCGCTGGCGTGGGAGGATGGGCATGACCCTGTCCGTTTTCTCTGAAATTGTCTTTTGAACCACATGGAAGGTCATGCAGAATGTCTGGCGTGGGAGTTTGAAACCATGTTAGACATGATCTGCAGTTTGTCGTGCGATCTCAGGTCCTTGAGAGATGACCTTGTTTTCAGAGCTCTGTACAGAAAACTGGCGATCCGTACCATGTCACTCATTGTGGCTAGCATGTGCGCCAGGCTGTACTTAGTATTTATGAAGGCGTGCCAGGTTTAGGTAACACTACAGCCTTTTTGTAACTATGAATGCTGTACCAACGCTGTAAGTATATGCATGCCATATTTATGTCATGTTACCTGAGGATCGGGGGGGGGGGGGGGCGCTGGAGAGCTACACCCAACTAACTTTCAAATGAGGACAGATGGTGTGTTGGGATGAAAATCAGTGTTGCTTGTAATCCACGGTACTGAATATTTCCGCCTGCGTAGCTTCAGCTCAGAGGTTACATTTCAGGGCACGATAACGCCGTTACAGGTCATTATTGCAGGTATTAGGTCGAACATGGGAGCTGAACGCAATTTCCCACTGTGACCACTATAGCTTTAAACAAAAATTGCAATGCTTTTGCGGTCTTTGTAAC